GAAGGGAGAGAGAAAAAACAAAGACCGCGCAGTGTTCGACCTGGGGTTTCAGTGCCATTTAGTCACTGAACCAAGAAGCAGCAGGGGATTGAGGGGCTATCTTCCTGCTCAGGCTGCACAAGCTAACTCTGTAGAGGCCACTGGGCAAGGCTAGAAAGAACTTCAGGTTTTAGGGATCTTGTTCAGCATCCAGAGCTGGCATCCCTTTGTCTTAACGCTCTTGGCGAGCATGGGTAAATTTAAAATACAGATGTAAGTTTGTACTTAAGTTGTTGCTTTCTTTCAGCCCAGAAATGATACATTTATCACTAATTAAACAGTAATTACATTATGGAATACGGGGTGGGGGGGTATTGCTTGTAGTATAAACAACATCTGGTAAAGATTAAAAAGAAAGAACAATTTTTCCAAGCTCAAATTTGTTGAAAGAAATTTGAGTGTTTTGAAACAGAATAGGTCCTGAAATGTAAAAGGGATATTTACAGTCTTGTTTTTAGCATTTTGGAAATAGAATAGAAGAAAATGGCATAATAAAACATACATAGTTATAAAGGTGCCTTATTTTACACAATAGATATGAAGATTTTATATAAGTAGATATTTTAAAAACCAGATTGCTTTTGAACTCATAAAAGAGCTTACTATTGAAATGAATCTTCTGAAGAATCCCCTTTTTCAAAAAGCAAAGTTATTTTTTGATAAATATAGTTGCCCTTTAACTACATACATATATTAACACAAGGGTTCCCACACGGCAGGGTTTGGAAGCATGGGCTGGAGTTGCTGTGTTGCTGGCTGATGGGTCAACTCAAGGGGGAGCTTCTTATCAGCCACTTCTTTTTATTTTTATTTTTTTTTTTAATGTTTTATTTATTTCTAGGAGAGAGAGAGACAGCGTGAGCAGGGGAGGGTCAGAGAGAGAGGGAGTCACAGACTGAAACAGGCTCCAGGCTCCGAGCTGGCAGTCAGCACAGAGCCAGACGCGGGGCTCGAACCCACGAACCGCGAGATCATGACCTAAGCGAAAGTCAGACGCTCAACCGACTAAGCCACCCAGGCGCCCCCACTTCTTTTTAAAAAGAATGACCATTTCTGAGTAAAAATATTTAACTATATTAAAATAGACCATGAAAGAGAATCTGTTTCAGGCTTCCTGGACTTCATTTTACCTCTCACCTGCAATTTCCCACTTTATTTTTTAGACAAAAATATCTATGAAGAATGATAAATGAAAAAGTCTTGAGAATTTTTGTTTCCTCACTGCCCCCCCCTTTTTTTTTAATGAGGCATTCACTTTTGTGAATTACCTCAAATCATATTATAATTTTCCTTTCTGGTTTATATTCTCTCTCTTCCTCCCCTCCTCCCCATACTCTATCTCACACACACAAGAAATCAGAAAATGATAGAAAAGTGGAAAGATTTCTTCCATGAGAATTATGTTCTTCCATGTTCTTAGGTCTCTTTTAAGTGACAAGTGGCTTGTAATAATCCTTGATGAATCGGGATGAAAATAACAGATGAGACATCAAGGACAGAGAGTGAGCATGGCTGTTATTTGTACAGTTGGCCTCTCCCTCACCTTCCCGCCACAACACAGGCCTAGAGCACACCACCACTGCGCATTTCTTCTGTGTTGACTTTGTCTTCCCCTTTTTCGTTGAGGGATAAGAATGGGCTGTCCTAGGCAGAGAGGAGATACACATGCATTTCAGGATCACGTGGGAGATGGGAAGGGGATGCTCACCCAACAAAACAATCTGATCCATAAGAAGAGGAAGTCAGAGTCTGGAGCCCTCCATCATCATCTTCTGTTAGTCCTCTGACATTCAGTGAAAGGACTCAGGGTGGCGTGAGGGGAAGGAAGAAGTGCTAAACATGCATTATTGATGGCCTCTTGGTGACATAGTTTCCCTAGATTTGAAATAATCTGTACATGGAAATCATTAGGCCAGATGGAGAAGAGCAAGCAGAGCTTGAGAAGGAACAGTTTGGTAGGATGGAGAAAAACAGACAAGCAGATGGGACCCAAGAAAGTTTTTCTTTCCCTCATTTTTACAGGAAAAATAATCCACTGGATTGTAGGGCTGCAGAGCTAGGATTTGAGGCTAGGTTGCAGAGTGGCCTGTGGTGTGTTTATTGTAGGGTCCCATTCTATAAATAAGATAGGACACCAAGGGGTTAAATGTCTGCCTCTTCCGTCACATGAATGCTGTAAAGATTCAGAGGGGAAATTTATGGCTTCCAAAGAAAGATAAATTAAGACTTTAATTCTATTCGGAGAATTCTCTTGATAAGAAAAGCAGCTTAAGTTTGCTTTTGTGATTTGATGTCACTGGGACACATGCCTGGCCTGTGAGCACTCCAGGCTTCATGAGGGGACTCACTGACCCTGAAATTATGTGCTCGGGAAGTGTAAAGAGTCCCATTTTAAAAACCATCCACAGGGGCTAAGGATGAGAAAGAGCTGTTCACGGCTCTGGAGCAGCAAAGAAGACTGCTTTTTAAATCAAAATCTCTGCCACTGCTGTTTCAGCAAGGCTCCCCTGCCTCCTGGCATCTTATCTGTTGTAAAAGCCAAAATGGGCTGTAGAAGCAGGTTGAGAGCAACCAAAAGTCAAATATTTAGACAGGAGCAAATCTAAGCAGAGAGTCCATTGGCATGGAGAGAGCAGGCAGTTCCACACATTCTGGAGACATTTAAAACATTGGATTGAGTGGTTTTGACAGAAAACACTGCACAAAAGAGAAGTTATGTCCAAACTCTAGTCCTCTTTTAACAAAGTAAGTTAGAACATCCTTGCATCTCCTCCTTGATTTTCATAGTAGCCCTGTTCTACACAGTGGATCATTCTCTCATTTGCCATTTAGAAACCTGTGAGCAGTGTTGAATGATTTTCTACTAGCATCAAATTTATAGAGTGGCTCTAGATTTGTTAAACCATTCTCAAAGGAATGGTTCTATTTTAACATTTCTAGTTTTGGTTTTCTATCCATGCATTTTCAGGCTCTGTGTGTCTGTCTGCCTGTGGGCACTTCACAGTGTTGTTTGGTCTTAAACACTTAAGAGGCATGTTGTCCATCTATGAAAGTTTGAAAAACTTTTGGCACATTTGGTGAATCACTTTAAGACATACACTTTAAGACATACAGTGTGCTTGGGGTGTCTGAGTGGCTCAGTTGGTTAAGCGTCCAACCTCGGCTCAGGTCATGATCTCAGGCTCTGTGCTGACAGTTCAGAGCATGGAGCCTGATTCACATTCTGTGTCTCCCTTTCTCTCTGCCCCTCCCCTGCTCGCTCTCTCTCTCTCTCTCTCTCAAAATAAATATTTTTTAAAAAGACATACAGTGTGCTTTTCCCTTCTTGTTTGATTTTTCCATTATATAGAAACTTATGATATTTTCTGGGCATTTATCCAGTGACCTCTTCATAACTGTTATTATTTACTGTGGGCCTGAGTCACTGGGAGATTAACGGACTTGCCTGAGATCAAAGCCAAGAAATAGCTTGCCTCTCTTCTGTTGAACCTTGGTCCTGTCAGACTTACTTCTTAAGTACATAATGAGTTTACCAATGAGAATTTTTAGTTGGTCTCTTTTAGATAAAAATGCACATCAGTGAAAGATGAGGGAGCATGGGTTATTCTACCTTGAGAGTAGAGATTTGTAACTTGCAAATCACAAATCTCTCTCTTCCAGTAATTATAAGGGAGTTTCCCACCGTTTTAACAAGTGGCAGTGCTCTTGCCTGGAACTTTCTGTGGCAGCCTGTAGTGGTGGTGTGTGAACACTAGATGGCACACGTTCAATATTACAACTCAAAATGCCCAGCCCAAACCGGAGAGTGGAAAAGAAAATCTATGGAGATAGGCTCCATTCTTTCTTCAGAGTGGTCCAGAAAACTTGAGAGACAAAACATATCCTTTCTTCTCTTCTTGTTGAGGGGGCTTTGTAAAAATATTTGCCAAAGCTGGTCATATCAAGTGCGATATGACTCAAAGAAATTCCTCAATCCATTCACGTTTGGATGCTACTGTAAAGTATGTGTTTCACAAATGGCATTTTTTTTTCATCTGGTTAACTCTCAGGCTTTGAGCTCTGGCTGAAAAGATAGGGAACCTGAGTCAGGCCCATTAAAGCCCTACCTAAGCTACAGTGGGTCAACTTCTGCAGATTTGAACTGTCAGAACCATCACAAAAATATTCATAGAATAAATTAGATCACTTTCTTTGTTCAAGATGATGGTTTCTATATTTTGTCTTCAATAATATAAGCTGCTAAATTCTTTTTTATTAATTTTTTATTGTTCATTTTTGAGAGAGAGAGAGCGCGTGTGCGCATGCAAAAGAGGCAGAGAGAGAGGGAGACACAAATCTGAAGCCGGCTCCAGGCTTTGAGCTGTCAGCACAGAGCCCGGCATGTGAACCATAAGATCATGACCTGAGCCAAAGTTGGACACTCAACCGACTGAGCCACCCAGGCACCCTGCTAAACTCATATATAGAGCAGGATTGTGACAGTCACTGCTTCCCTATAAATTACTCTGTACTCAGTGCTCAGTAAGGAGGAATAAAAAGGTAGCAGGCCCAGACCTGACCTTGAGGTATTTCTAGGCCATGGGAGGTGGTCAGATCCATGGGTATTTTGTATAAAACTAGCAACACACACAGGCTCTGCCTCCACTACAGCATGCTGGTGAAAGATATTTTTAAATTTCCCATGATACTTATTGACTCTTTTTTTTGGATCATATGGGCATATTATAGGAAATGTGGAACGAACGTACAGTAGTATAACGAGGAAATAAGCTTGCCTGTGATCCCTTTGCCCTGAGAGAACCCGTTTGCTCCATGCACTTGCGTTTTTTTTCCCCTAACCCAAAGAACTGTGCACATTTTCTAGACACCAGCAGTTCTAGACAACTCATCTCCCTGATAATAATCAGTCGTGATGTTATCAGTGATATGCTTCTGATATTTTACTTTTGGTCTCTTCACAGCCCGAAGCAGCCTGCCACCCCGCCATATTCAGAATTGTTGATGAGACTTTCAGGTAAATGGTGTGCTCTTCTGCTAATAATTGGCCTAGAAATGTGCAGTTCCAAATATGAGTAAAAAAATGTGTGGTCATTTCTGGCTATACCATGGAGAAGTTAGTTTCTGATTCTGTCTTACCCATCCAAGCTATTTGGTAAAACCCAAATGCCAGTGTATATTTAAAAACCAATGCCTAAGAATTAAGATAACTTTCATTTTTTAACCACTTAAATTTCTAATAATGGTAGAAAGGCAGAAGTGAATTAGATATTAAATCATTAAATATTCATGTAGGATTTTTCTCAGCTCAAAATAAAATGTAGCAGTGTACTCCCTTCACCACATGAGGGCTGACCAATCTTTTAAAAAGATGTTAATGCTAAGGAAAACCAAGAAAAATAAATAAGCAAGGCCATTCTTAAGAGAGCTCTTCTGAAAGGCAAAATCAACTATGCATGTTATCCTCCAACACATTAATTTTGCAAATGTGAGTACTTCTTGGGAAGTACGTTGGATTTACAGATGATGAGAGATGAGAGCCCAGTGGATACCAGGCAGTAGATACCATGGCTGGCAGTTAGTGGGAGCTTGTTACCCGGGGACGGTTTCTGTCCTCTTTCCTGGGTGCTGGGGAAGTCCTGGTACTCACCTTCCCCACCCATCCCACTTCACATTCACCGGTAGAGGCTCCAAGGCAGATAGTAACCCTGGGGAAAGGAATTTTTACAACAGCAAATAACCCAGCCTTTGAGTTAGTCTTGAAACATACCAACTTAAAGCTAAATGAGCATACGAATGTCAGAATGCTGTGTTTAGTTTAGAGCAAGCAAGGTTTGAGTTGGTTTCTTTTTGTTTCAGCAGAAAGTTGTATGAAAATGTACAGAAACCAATCCAGGTACACACAGATTCTTCCACTGTTTTACTGGGTAGATTTGACCCGAGCAATTTACCCCCTTGGGCAGCTCTTTCTCCACTTGAAAAAATAAAAAGTCTGTTGATTTTGCATGCCCGGGCATACAGTGTACAAATACTTCTAGAGAGCACTCAGGCCTAGATGGAAGAGACATGAGGTGCTTCATAATTTAAAAACCAAGCAAGGAAGCTTTGCAGATTGCTATTTTAAAGAAAGTATTTCGGAAAGGAGTGACACACAAAGACTGAAATCTAATGAGCTAGGATACTGCTGAAGCTTATGGCACAAAAAGAATGTTTCCACTCTTCCCGTTTACAGTTCAGGCTCACATGTTTGCCAAATTAATCATTAAATGTGTTGTAATCTGGCTTTGCATTGCTCAGGTATGCCCTCCTGGAAACCGATGGAGCCCCAGAAGTACTAGCCACTATTCAAGTGTTTACATGGTGCTTTGTGGAAGCTCTGGAAAAACAAAACAAGCAGGTTTGTTATGTTGCATATATTAGTCATTCCCCTCCAATGGAAAAAAGGTAGGGGGGTGGGGGGGTTGTTAAGAGTATATGGCTAATCACCAGACAGGAGCACTTTATTTTTAGTGATTTTGATAGACTGTTTTTGCTTATGAAGAAAGCTTCCAAATGAATACCCCAGCAAAGATAAAACCATTTTAATTGAAAATAAATCAAGAGAGTTCCTGTCTGCCCTGTGCCCTGGTCCCTAAAAGGATTTATCTACTGTTGTGTAAGAAAACTGGCATGCCAGCATGTGCCGCCCCGGAGGCTTCACTTTCTAGGCCCTGTGTTGTGTGCCGTCTGACGAGCGGGACTCTGCCCTCGCCAGGGCAGCCGTAGGCATTCTGCAGTGTATGTGGCGTGTGCTAAGAAGGAAATGCCACAGACTACAGAACACTGCTGGACATTCTTAATCATCAGAGTTTCCCTGCCTGGGAGAGACCCAAATGTGAACTGGGTTCCAGGAGAGAAAGGAGCCAGTGAGAGTGACAAGGAGGGATTTGAATCATTATAGAGACGCAGCTAGGAATGACAGTGACCAGGAGGAGCGAGGTGGACACAGTCAGAAGTAAGCCAGGCATGGGGCTGCAGAAGAAGTGTGCTGCAGAGGCCAGGCAACCGCTGCCAAGGGCCGGTGACTGACCAGAGGGACCTTATGAAACAGGCAGCGTTTCTGCTAGAGCTTTCACTCTGGGACATTTTCACTGGCCTGTACTGTGTGTAGTGCTTTGCCTGTTCCAGTGCTGGGTTCACTGCAGCTTCCCAGGAGGTGGGCCACAGTCCCCTTGTGGTGCTTTCCACAGCCTCACGTAGGAGAGCATTGCTGCGCGATGCTTGGCCCTGCTGCAATCCTATACGTCCCTACACGGAAGAAGTCTCTCAGGTTTTAGCAGATACTCTGATTTTCAAGACAGTCATAAATATTATTGATTTTCTGCCATCCTTTTTCCCTAGGGAGGTTAACTAGACTGTAGCAGACCGCATTTCAATACCCAGCCTGAAATTCGGGAGGAGAGCTCTGCTGAAAGGCACTGGTTGGCCCACACACCTATTTTGAGGCATAACTATAAACATCTTTTATCCTTCCATGTACATTTTCTGTAGTTCCAGTTAGGAACCAACCTCTAGAAAACCTGCCCCTTTGAGTCCTGAACACACGTAGGTTGAGGCAGGAGACACTGGTTAAAGCATTAGCTTCAAGGTGTTTTTCTTATCAGCCTTGCTCCTAACTGTTGGGCACTGTGGATTTGGACTGGAGTTATAGTTGCTTTTAATTAATTTGTTAATCTTTTTTTTAAATGTTTATTTATTTTGAGAGAGAGAGAAAGAGTACACGTGCAAACAGGAGGAGGGATGGGGTGGGGGGGCCAGGGGGGCAGAGAGAGAGAGAGAGTCCTAAGCTGGCTCTGCACTGTAAATGCAAGATCATGACCACAGATCATGAGTCAAATGCTTGACTGACTAAGCCACCCAGGCACCCACACCCCTTAATTGATTTGTTTATTCTTATTTTTTTTCAGTTTTTATTTTTTTTATTGAGGTATAATTAACAAATACTAGTTTCAGGTGTACAACATAATGATTCAATATTTGTAAATATTGTGAAATGATCACAATAAGTTCAGTTAACATCTGTAACCACAGAGTTACAACATTTCTTGTGATAAGAACTATTAAGATACACTCTCTTAGCAGCATTCAAATATACGCTACAGTCTTATTAGCTGTACACAATGCTGCACATTACAGCTCCAAGACTTACTTATATTTTAACTGGAAGTTTATACCCTTTGATCACTTTCACCCATTTCATCCACTCCCCAGCCTGCCTCTGGCAACCACCAATCTGTTCTCTGTATCTGTGAGCTCAAGTGGTATTTCGCTTTGTTATGTTTTTTGATTCTACATATAAGCGAGATTATATGGTATTTATATTTCTCTGTCTGACTTATTTCATTTAGCATAATACCCTCAAGTTCTATCCATGTTGTTGCAAATGGCAAGAAAGCACTTTTTTTTTTTATGGCTGAATAAATAGTCCATTGTATTTGGAAAGAACACATTTTCTTTATCCACCAGTGGACATGTAGGTTGTTTTCATGTCTTTGCTGTTTGTAAACAATGCTACAGTGAATGTGGGGGGTGAAGATACCTTTTTGAATTACTCTTTTCACTGGGTAGATACTCAGTAGTGGGATTACTGGATCATATGGTATTTCTAATTTTTTGATGAACATCCATACTCTTTTCCACAGTGGCTACACCAGTTTACATTTTCACCAACAGTGCACAAGGGTTCCATTTCCCCCACATCCTTGCCAACTTGTCTTTTTGAAAATAGCCATTCTCACAGGTGTGAGGTGATACCTCATGGTGGTTTCGATTTGCATTTCCCTGATTATTAGGGATGTTGAACACCCTTTCATGTACCTGTTGGCCATATCTGTATGCCACCTTTGGGAAAATGTCTATTCATATCTTCTGCCCATTTTTTTTTATCAGATTGGGGTTTTTTGGTACTGAATTTTATGAATTCTTTCTATATTTTGGATATTAATCTCTGATCGGATATATGATTTGGAAATATTTTCTCCCATTCAGTAGGTTGCCTTTTCATTCTCTTAGTGATTTCCTATACTGCACAGAAGTTTGGGTTTTTTTAAGTTTATTTATTTATTTTAAGAGAGAGAGCACATATGGGAGCGGAAGGAGGGGCAGAGAGAGAGGAAGAGAGAAAATCCCAAACAGGCTCAGCATGGTCAGCACAGAGCCATACATGGAGCTCAGTCCCACGAACTGAGATCATGACCTAAGCCAAAAGTTAAGAGTTGAATATTCAACTAACTGAGCCACCCAGGCACCCCTGTGCAGAAGTTTTTTTAGTTTGATGTAGTTCACTTAGTTTTGCTTTTGTTCCCTTTGTTTTTATGGAGTCAGAGCCAAAAGTCTTCACCAAGACCATTGTTAAGGAACATACCACCTGTGTTTTCTTCTAGGAGTTTTATGGTTTCAGGTCTTAAGATTTCAATTTCTAATCCATTTTGAGTTTATTTTTTGTATATGTTGTTAAGAGAGTGGTCCAGTTTCATTCTGTTGCATGTGGCAGTCCAGTGTTCCCAGCACCATTTATTAAAGAGACTGTCCTTTCCCATTTGTATATTCTTGGTTTCTTTGCCATATATATGTGGGTTTATTTCTGGCCTCTCTATTCTGTTCTGTTGATCTGTGGGTCTGTTTTTATGCCACTACTCTACTGTTTTGATTACTGTAGGTTTGTAATAAAGTTTGAAATCAGAGAGTATGCTGACTCCAGCTTTGTTCTTCTTTCTCAAGATTGCTTTGGCTATTAAAGGTCTTCTGTGGTTCCATAAAAATTTTAAGATTATTTGCCCTGTTTCTGTTGCTTTTCTTTTTTTTCCTCTTTTTTCTTTTCTTTTCTTTTCCTTTCTTTTCTTTTCTCTTTTCCTCTCCTCTCCTCCTCCTCTTCTCATCTCGTCTCTTCTCTTCTCTGTTGCTTTTCATTTAGAATATTACCCTGCCCAGGCTACATGGGTTTGGTGGTGTGGAAAGGCACACACTAAGTCCCAGTGGAAATCAGGGCAAGGATCAAAAAAGAAGAATTAATCGCCCTGACTTTGGGTTCAGAATAAGAGGGCAATAACCTCTTACCTTTGCACAGGGCTTCATATACATTTATTATGTCACTTCTCTTTTAGGGCAGTGCCTACTTGTCTGCCTTTTTCATTGATGGCTTTTTCTCATCATTGATCTTCTGACTTCTCGAGTGCCCATTTTTAGATTAATCATAATCCTTAATGCATAACACCCTGTGTCCTGTGTGATCCATGCATAACACTCTTTCTTTTCTGTGTTTTATTCATTTATTCATGTATTTATTCTTAATAAAGTGAATATGAACAAATATCAAAACAAGACCTGGGCTGGTAATAACTTAATATGTATTCATGTAGCCCATCTCTGTCTTATAGCCCTGCCTTTCTCCTCCACTGTAGCCATAAATATTTTGAATTTATGTCTGTCATTTCTTTTTGCTTTTTCTGAAAATAGTATGATCACATATATATGATTGCCTAAACCATGCTTTCTTTGCCTTTTTGCATTTGAGAAAACAGAGCAACAAACGAGAGTATATGCAGTATACGCAAAATACGCAGTCTTTTGAATCTTGCATTTTCCACTCCCCGTGATCGCTCTGTGTTGTGTGTGGCCATGGTGGGGTGTTGTCACATGGTACTCTGTTGGGAAAGTGGTAGTAAGCATCTGGTTTGTTTCCAGATCTTGTTTTCTTTTAGAAACAGTGTTGCTCTGAACATTCTGGGATATGTTTAGGAATGGAAGTGCTGGTTATTAGGTATGCGAAGATTCAGCTTCTGTAGATGCTGCCAGATTGTTTTCAGATGTGGTTGTGCCAGTTTATACTCCCCCCAGCAGTTTATGAGAAATTCACTTCATCCACATTCTTTCCCATTGTCAGAAATGTTTATCTTCAGCCCTTCTCATTCTCTTTTTATTCCTTCCTCACCCCCTGTTGTATTTGGCGAGCACAGTGCAGCTCCATCAATGTGCCCAGTTGGACTAGTGTTGCTACGACAAACCACTTTTTCTAAACTTGTGAAATGGCTCAGTACAAACAGCAAATCACTTCAGGTTCTGGTTTCAATAGTAGCAGAGTCTGATAATATATTAGACTAAATTTCCTAATAAAAATTATAAAGTCTGAGCAAGATATATTTAAAATCTATTTGAAGGTACTAGAAAGCAACCAAAAAAGCAGATGGGAACTGGAGGAGATTTAAGCCTTGAGAAAGGAAACCACAGTGGGGTCTCTGCTAACTGTCTCCTTAGGTCTCTCATGTGAGGAGTGGGAGGGGGTTGTGTGGGGCCAGGGGTGCTCAGAACTGAAGGCACAATCTGATTGACTTGAGGTGTCGACAGGGCTGTGAGCTGCCAGAAGAACAAAACAAAACAAGCTAACATCAAAAGATAGACTGAAACACAAACCTACTAACAAGTACGTTAATTACAAAAATTAAATAAAAATTAGCTAACTATGGTAGTAAAAAGGTACAAATGTCAGAGTAGATAAAAAACCAAGATCTAACCATACGTTGCTTTCAAGATACTCAATCTAATGATAAAGACATAGATTAAAGTAAAAGAAAGGAATAATAGATTATGCAAATAATAAACTGGAATGGCACTACTAGCAGCAGATGGCATAGACTTCACAGCAAGGAGTCTGATCAGAGATAAAGTGGGACATTTTCTAATGCCACAGAATCATCAGGTCATCAGGAGTAATACCAATCAACCATGGATATGTGTTTAATAACAGTTCCAAAATACATGAAGCAAAAATTGACGGAAGTAAGAAGAGAAAGACAAATGCACAGTGACATATAAAATACTTAGAAGTAAATTTAACAACAGATGTATAAGACCTTTACACTGCAAACTATAAAATATTGCTTAAAGAAACTTAAATATGTGAAAAGAGAACCAATTTTTTAAATGTTTTTTATTTATTCCTGAGAGAGAAAGAGAGGCAGCGTGAGCAGGGGAGGGTCAGAGAGAGAAGGGGACACAGAATCGGAAGCAGGCTCCAGGCTCTGAGCTAGCTGTCAGCACAGAGCCTGACACAGGGCTCGTACTCACGAACTGTGAGATCATGACCTGAGCCGAGTCGGATGCTTAACCGACTGAGCCACCCAGGCACCCCAAGAGAGAACCAATTTAAATCCAGAACAACAGAACAATTTGAAAAAAACAAATGCAAAAAAAAGAAAGAAAAGAAAAAAATCAGAGGACTCACACTACCCAATTTCAAGACTTTAAGCTACAAGACAGTGAGGTATTGGCAAAAGGATAGAATGGTGAAATCGAAAAATCCAGAGACTTTGTGTGTGTGTGTGTGTGTGTGTGTGTGTGTGTGTGTGTGTGTGTAGTAAATTGATCTTTGACAGAGTCACCATGGCAATTCAACAGGGAAAGGAAAAGTTTTGAACAGTTGTGCTGAAACAAGTAGATATCTAAATGGGAAAAAAAATGAACCTCTAATAAACACAAAAATTAATTTGAAGTGGATCATCGACTTCAATATAAATGCTAAAACTATAAACCTCCTAGAAGAAAACATAGGAGAGTATCTTTTATTATTGGAACAATCTAAGATTTCTTAGGAGGGATGTCAAAAAAGCACAAGCCATACCCAAAAGAAATGGATAAATTATAGATTTCATCAGAATTAAAATGTATTCTCTGATAGACATTGTTAAGAAAGTGAAGAAGCAAGCCACTAACTGGGAGAAATTATTTTCTTTTAATGTTTTATTCAGTTTTTGAGAGAGTGCAAGTGGGGGAGGGGTAGTGAGAGGGGGACAGAGGATCTGAAGTGGACTCTGTACTGACAGGTTGACAGCAGTGAGCCTGACGTGGGGCTTGAACTCACAAACTCTGAGATCATGACCTGAGCTGAAGTTGGACACTCAACCGACTGAGCCACCCAGGCTCCCCAAGAAATTGTTTTCAATACATATATTTGACAGAATTTGTGTCCAGAATAAAGATCTCTTAGGCACTAAGAAACATCTCAGTTTTTTTTAAAGGGACAAAAAAGATGAATACAAACTTCAAAAAATCTATATAAGTTGGCAATAAACATATGAAAATTGTTCTACATCATTTACCATCAAGAAAATGCATAGTAAATCCATAAAGGGGTGACATTTCATACCCACTGGAATGGCTGAAATTAGTAAGATTGAAAATACCAAATGTTTGCAAATATGTGGAGCAACTGGAATTCTCATAAATTGCTGGTGGGAGTGTGAGATGGTACAACCGTTCTGGAAAACTACATGGCAGTTTCTTATAAAGTTAAACAGGCGTCTACTCCATGATCCAATAATTCCATTCCTGTGGTTTTGCCCAAGAAAAAGCACATGTCCACAAAAAGACATAAATATGAATGTTAATTTGCGGCTTTACTCATAATAGCCCCAAACTGGAAACAACCCAAACACCCATCAATAGGAGAATGAATAAACATTATGGTATATTCATACAATGATTATGTCAACAATAAAAAAAAAGAATGAACTACTTATGCACACTAACATGGATGAATCTCAAAAAAAAAAAAAAAAAGATTGAGCCAAACCAGACACAAAAGAATATATACTCTATGATTCTATTCAGATGAAATCCAGGAATAAGCCAAACAAATCTCTTTTGTGGAAATCATAGTATTGGTTTCCAGGGAGTGGTGGAACCACAAAGGAACTTTTTGGGGCAATAGAAATGTTCTCTGTTTTGACTAGGGTGATGGTCACATGGATTTACAGATTTACCAAAACTCATCAAAGCCTATGCACTTCACTGTTTCTAGATTTTCCCTCAGTTTCTTACAAAGTACTTCAAAAGTGCCTTCTAAAGGCATAAGTAACTAAAGCATTTTAGCCCTTATAGTATAGCAAGCACCATTGTTGTTTCATGCTTGTTTTTGTTGTTAAAAAATCGTGCTGGAATATCTAATATCTCACAACTACCTTGGAAACTCTCACTTAAATAGATTTATGTGCATAATATAGTTCATTTGAGGTAAAAACCTGCTGTGAAGACATCAGGAGCATAACTCTTTTGCTTAAGCGCCAGAAGGTGACTTCAAAAAGGTTCATTTTTCTAGAACATATTTATAAGGTTATTGGGAAAAAAATTTTTAAATAAGTGTTTAAGAAAACATTCTGACCATGTTAGTACTAGTCAGTCTTTTGAGGGCAGATGGTGCAAGATTTTGTTCTTTCTTAATACCTCTTCTAACCCTAACAGTCATATGGTTTTGAATTATTGTAGCTGAAGTTTACACTCAAGACCTACTTTCCTTATGCTTCTCCATCTCTTGTTATGGTGCTGCTTCAACACCCGAAAGGTACGTGAAAGTTGATTCTGCCGATATTAAAATAATTTCTGAGAAAGAGGGCTGACAAATCATAACCCTTCCCTACAAGTTCTTTATCTGTAAAATAAGGGAGATGGAATCAGTCATGTGTAACATCCTTTTAATATCTTAGGGTCTCACATTCTGTGGGATTTTGATATGAGAATTTGCTGGACTTCCCAGTTATGATCGCTTAACAAAAGAAAGAAAAAAATATCCTCTTGTTAGGTTTTGATAGCCTGCTTGGGATAACCCAGGCTTCTGCTGGTGCCAGCCAGATCCACCTGAATGCCAGGAACAGGCTAAGACTTGGCTGAGGTAGGTTAGAACAGTACATTTATTTGTATTTCATTCTTTCCACTCTGTGCCCTTTGTTGCAGAAGAAAAGATAAAATGAATCAAGCCAAGGAAATTTAGGGGAAATTTCTCCTAACCAAGCCAAGGGAAAAAGACTCTTGAAAGAATTCAGTAAGTGTATTAGATCATGGCCTTCTCTGGTCTCATTTGCCAGCCTTCCATTGGCCACATCCAGTTGGGAAAGTGATTATTCCATCTTTAATCCAGTTGGCGTTGGTCTGTTAGCATGTCTGAGAACTTGTGTTTAGGAAACATTTTAGGCATAGAGAATAAAGGTGTCCTTCCCCTTCCACTAAAGCATAGAATATGAAGGAAAGGCAGCACTGACACAGCACAGGCTCTGTGCCAGAGAAGAAGACATTTTAACAGTCTGTGGACGGAAAGAGAAGAGGAGAGAGGGAAAGAGCCAGGAATATTTCCTTTGTTGTGCTATTTTTGCTTGCATTTTTCCTGAGTAGATTGATTCATTGAGGAAAGTAGATGACTTCAGGTTTCAGAGCATTTTACAAAATCCAACTTCCTCTTCCTTTTTCTTCAAGTATGTATGTATGTATGTATGTATTTTAGAGAGAGAGCAAGCAGGGAGAGAGGCAGAGAGAGAATCTTAAGCAGACTCTACCCTTCAGCTCAGAGCCCGATGTGGGGCTCAATCCCATGACCCTGGGATCATGAACTGAGCTGAAATCAAGAGTTGAACACTCAACTGACAGCCACTCAGGCACCCCTCCTCCACGTTTTTCTAAAAGATGTGGGTTCTCACCCAGCATAACCCATGAGACACTGTCTTCTCAGATGCTAGTGGTGGAGGTAGTAGTGAGGTTGCTGGGACCTCTGGTCAACAATTCTTTCTCTTTCTAGAGGAACACTTTACAGCTTAGGTCAGGTTAGAGAAGCCTGAGGTCAGCCTATGTGAGAAGCTGAATGAGCTCCAGAAAAAATACTGGAGTTGTTATTTTGTAGGCTGGAAAACCTATAAACATAAGACTACCCTGTACTTTGGGCATGGAACTCAACCACTTATCTTTTCCTTTGTATGAAGGTCTTAGATTTGCATCCAAAAATAAAGAAGTAAATTTAAGCTAAAGTTGCTCCTTTGCTACTTTTCACCATATTCCTTTCAGAAAAAATGTTTAATTCACAAATTGAAGTATTTTTTAATAGTAGAATCTCCTATTCATCAGAAATTGATTTTGTGCCCACTGTAAAATCCTTTGGGGCATAAAAGATAGATCATTTATGAGTCCTGACTATGTAAGAGCTACAAGTAGAAGGGATATAAAATAAGTATCTAAATAATTAATACAAAGAAGAAAATGAAAAATACCTTCAAAGGCTACAAGTCAAGAGTAATGGGCATTCAGAGGAAGGAAAGAGAATATATGATCCTTTCATCTATAACATTTGTGGGGTAGGTACAGTGGCTACCTTATCACTTACATTATCTTCTCATGTATTTAATTATAGAATCCATCACTATGTGGATTATGTGGTAACTTTTTCAGATGTTATTTAAAACTGTGGATATGTGCATATCTAAAACCTTGGGATAATTATGAAACCAGAAAAACTAACTCAAGAAAAGACATTTGTCCACATAATACCCATCTAACATTTTTCTGGCCTATTCTTCCCTATAAACCTGTAATCATATTCTGAATTCATCACAATCATAGAAAAACAGTTGAGCAGCCTATCCTTAGTTCCTTATTGACTTTTGTTACCATCTCCTCGTACTTTGAAATCACAAATTGTCAGCGATAAGGAGTGGGGGCTTTGGATAGAAAAGAAAAAACCTAAGGTATCTGCAACATAACATTTTCAGTCCTAGAGTGGGCTGCTTATGGAGTTTGTCTGCTTCTGTGTACCTGAGTTAAAGAGCCTTTGAAGTTTAGTTCTGTGTAACACTGAGCATCTTTCCAGGCCTAAGGGATGGATACCGGCTGGGAACAGCAGGACACCAGTGATATGGGTCCCATGGACCAGGAAAAATAGAGCCTTTTTCCAAAGCTCTTTTGGTCTTAGCTACAGATGATCCTATAGGCTTGACTATTCTTCAGCTCTTTCTGGTCTGACTCTCCACCCACAGATATTCCACAAGACCTGTGGCACCAACCACTGAAACATATTTCTGAAATGCTCAGAGAAATAGTTGAAGACCAGACTCACAGGTAAGCAAATCCTAATGACTCGTAGATCCACCCCATAGTGGTTTCTCTTGATCCTTATCTTCAGTTTGAGGAAGGCCCAGGGGAAGGAATTACTGGCCTGTGACTGCGCCCAAACAGGTAAGCACTTTGCTGAATAAGAAGTGGAGGAAGCACATAGCTGCACGTATCACTTTGAGCAGCTCAGAATCAATAGTAACTCAATATGTAAATCAATCAGTATGTAAATACCTTGTATAGAAACTGTCCTGAGTAGTATCTGGTTTTGGATTTTGAGATATACAAGCATAGCAAGAAGAAAAGTAGACCCTAGGAAAACAGCAGAGCCCACGTGCTGCCCCCGCCCCTAGCCATGCAGGAGAAGGACGATGCTCCCTGGGCCCCTTGGGCTTCTCCTTTCCTCTGTACTCTCTAGGGAAGAAAATTCTAAACTTCTGCATGGTGGCATAAAATGTTCCGTTTTCTTCATCTTTTTAATAAATATTTGTCTAAAATTAGAATATCTATTCTAATTTTAACACAAATTCTAATATCTATTCTAATTTTAACACAAATTAATTCCTAATATGATATTAAGTACCTGCTCATGCATTATTTTCCTAAAAGCTTTTTACGGAGTTCTTTGAGACATAATAACCTGCAGCTTCCTCTTGATTTTTTTAGAGCACAAATATTTTATTTGTTGTCTGTACTAACTTACTAAGACTGTCTTTATTTATTTCTTTTGCCACTATTCTCTTGGAATTCTCTGTAATCTGCTTGCTGAGCCATCACATACTACAGTTGGTGCTCCTTAAGTTCATGACCACTGATGCACGTTTGGTGCTAGTTACTCACAACCCCTCAAGATTCTTACCAATAAAGGAGATAAAAAGAACTGACCACCAAGTGGGGTTCAGAGTATCAGCCATGGTAACGGCCAGTAACACCTGTCAGTCCCATGTGGATCCTTTCAGGTTGTCTCTTGTGAAGAGTAGGACCTCGATGCAAAGCCTCATGGGACTCCTACCTAACTTAGATCTGCCTTAACTAGATTTCCAGGTCCATCTGCAGAGAGGGGTCAGTGAGCAGGTTCTGGTGCTTTCTCAGCCAGCCACTTGGACTGCCTCACGTACTCCAGTTACTGATAGAAAGAAGGACCAGGCCCATTTCTGCGAGGCAGGCCATGGAAGCCCCTATGTAGGGAGCATGAGAGAGCCCTGCTGTTCAGCTTATAGTGAGGTCTGTATGGAAGATACCCTGTGGAGCCTACTCCTGACTTCGGAGCCATCGTAACACAGCCAACCACTGATGTGGCCCACAGAGCATCAGCTCTCCCACTTTTGGGACAAGTAAGATTAATACTGACTCCCCTTTCTTTTCTCTCCACTGTTCTCCAACCTAGATTTCAAAACATTTAATTACCTGCTCTCAGAACGGATAGAGCAGACCCAGATCCAACCAAGAGGGGTCCAGAACTCTCCTGTTCCAGGAACCTCCTTGGTTCAGAAGAGGAGTTCTGATCTTAGGCCAGTCCCGCACCATTTTCTCCAGGGGAGATGTTAAGCTGCTGATGTGGTCACTATGCAGATTAATGGATCCTTTCCTTGAGCAGAGTTTATCTTTTAAACAGCCAGTGCATCTCTCCATTCCCAGCATGGCAAAAGGATAGCTTCACAAAAGCTTCTAACTTTTCAGCTGGCACACACATATGACAGGAAAACATATACATTATGCAGCCCATTCAAAGTTCATCACTGCCAAAATACTGACCAGAATCTTGTGTTTTGTCAGAAAGGAAATCACACATGGTTTGTATCTGCATCCCTTCTCTGGTCTCCATCTGGACCCCAGGGAGCCCCCTCATTTCTTGCACTGGAGCTACCCGGGTGGCTGCCTCAGGGCTGGGAGGCCCCCTCTCCACAGCAGCCCAGCTGTGCAGGCCTTACAGAAAGCAGAGGGGGGCTGCAGGTTCTCATCGTGTAGCATTCCTGTTGGTCATGGCCCAGGCTTTGTCAAAGGTCTGTACCCACTCATGGTCCTCGGATATAAAGATTTAAGTGTCTAAAGTCCTCAGGGCACATGGGGTTTTGAAAGACCTGCCTTTGAAGGGGCTGTGATGGGTTCAGAGTGGGATTGTAAGCTATTTTTTGAATCTAACTTGTGTTCCTTGTAAGATGTACATCAGTGGATAAGAACAATTTAAGCCAACCATTTGCAGACATTACAGCTGCTTTAAGAACTAAAGAGAGAAAGAAGTCAAGTCGCTCGTCTGCCATGTGTTTTGGTTCTGTTCCAGGTCCTACGGAGGCCCCTTTGAGTGCTGGTTTTTGTTCATTCACTTTGGAGGATGGGCTGACATTGCGGCTGAGCAGCTAGTGATGTCAGAAGCTGAACCCCCCGAAGCCCTGCTGTGGCTCTTGGCATTCAGCTATGGCCCATGTGACAGGAGTCAGCAGCGAGCACAAACCATGGTGGGTGGCAGGACCTGCTGCGTGTGGTGCCCTGGGTTCATCTCTTGAGATCAGAAAAGATGCTGTAGGAAGGGGCATATAGTGAGTTTAGCCTCCACTACCCCTCAGGCACCTAAGCACTGGGTGTTCACTGCTCACGTGTGGTAGCATGTACATATCCACCCAGATGAGTAAGTACATGCATGCTCACTTTGTGGTTGGAGATGTCTTCTTGTCTCACAGAGTTGACTAGAGATGGGAAACTGCCTCTCTGCTTTCCTGGAAAGCACCAAGGAGATAAGACATAGCCCTTCCGTCCCCTACACTGTTTTCTCTGTTCCAGCTCAACTGCCACAAGTGCCCTTGGTTACAGTCGGCCCTGGCCCAGGGGCCAAGTCCTCTAGCATTTGCCATGCAGAATCTGACCGCTCCTCTGAGGAGCACTGTCCTCTCTCTGATCAGAGCCTGGCCCTGTCTGCTTCCGTCTTGACTTACTGCTTTCTTTGATCAGACAACAAATCCTCACATTACAGGCTTTGTTTAGCACTCTTACTAAAGTAATCTGATATTAACCCCTTAGCTTCTGAGAAAGGACTTGGGCATTCCCCCAAATAACAGAGCAGCTAATGCAGGACTGGCTGTCTGTGGCAAAGAGAGCTATTATTTTATGTGGAGTATAATGACTACAGGAAGCAGTGCTTTGATTAAAGGCATTGGCACCTCCCTTACAAACATTTATTTGCTGGTTTTTAAAACTTCAACTGCTAGCACTCTTTGCTAATTTCAATAATTAAAGGAAGCAGGTTTCTTTATAGAGAGCAGGGCTCCTATTTGCTTGATGTTTTCTGTTGTTTGAAAAAAGTAAAGACTAGTACACATATGTACAGACATATACAGTATTTTTCTTATTTAAAGACTTACATGGCATGGAGTACCTGGGTGGCTCAGTTGGTTAAGTGTCCAACTCTTGATTTCAGCTCAGGTCATTTATCTCACAGTTTATGGGTTTGAGCTCCATGTTGTGCTTGAAATTCTATGTCTCCATCTCTCTCTCTGCCCCTCCCCTGCTCGTTCTCTCTCTCTCTCTCTCTCAAAAATGGATAGATAAGCATTTTAAAAAATGAAAAAGATTTGCATGGCAGAGGAAAGAAAGATTTTTAGATTTTAAAAACTTGAAATTTGGTGATAATTTCTTTTGGATCAAAAATACAATGTTTTAAAGAAATTATCATAATCCACATATGTATTTGAGGATTGCTTTATGATTAAAAAGGAAACTTTCTATCTCCTCCTTTTTTTAATGTTTTATTTATTTCTGAGAGAGAGAGAGACATGAACAGGGGAGGGTCAGAGAGAGAGGGAGATACAGAATCTGAAACAGGCTCCAGGCTCTGAACTAGCTGTCAGCACAGAGGCTGACGCAGGGCTTGAACCCATGAACCTTGAGATCATGACCTGAGCCAAAGTCGGACGCTTAACCGACTGAGCCACCTAGGCATCCCTCTATCTCCCTTTTAAAATATCACATTAAACTAATTAATATAAAGCTTAATTATGTTTTCATTATCTTATTTTTAGTGATAACAGTTAAAATGTTTGTAGCACTAATGATTTCCAAAACCCTGTTATACATACTTTATATTTGATTCCTTATAAGCTAAGTTGGTAGGTTATGTGTTAAAGTCCCTGTCAATCATTGAAATGGACATAGATTCACTTTTGAAAGGTAGAGAAATAAGTCGTCCAAAAAAAAGTAATGTCTAGAAAGTTCTGCATTGGCATGTCTTTCTAAATACTTAACCTTGGTCTCTCTCTTTTTTTTTTTTCTTTTTCTTTTTTTTCCTCTGTGCATAGTTCTTACTGCAGGGATGCTATAGCATAATGGATAAGAATGGATTCGCTCCTTCAGAGTAGTTTAGCACCAGCATGTTCGCTTCCTTCTTAGCTATGCTGTCAGAGGGGGCTATCTGTCTTATGATTGAAGACATGTTTCACATTTGTTAGCCTAAAGCCTCTTTCTCCTTGGTGCCCAACCTGAGGCACTGGTGTATGTGACATCCTGGGGAGCAAGTAGGCACAGTTTTCCTAGTTTAGTAATATACACCTCCTTCTCTCCTGGGTTTTGTGAACTTTAATCTGTTTGATGGTCTGTTGGGTGACTTGAGAAACAAACTGTGCTGCCTTTGAATGCATGTTTATTGGGAGATCTGAATGAGCCTGACAACATCTGTGCCCTTTCCTCAAAAGGTATCATGAAATCCTGCTAATCACTCAGCCCTAACATCGTACTGTGGGCAAGCCTCCACTGGCCATCCTTGCGGTTCAGTAATGGGGGCGCAAGGGCAACTGCCGCACAAAGACCCACCTTTGTCTCTGTAGTCCCTGTTCGCCGTTAGCCAGTGTTCATCTGCTTTTGCTAACTTTGCATTTGATCATGATAAAAACACAAAGTGCCTGTGTTTGAATACCCATAAGAATTAAGCCAGGGTTTATACTCTGACTTTGTCATTCCATTTCTAGGAATTATCCTAAGGAAGTAATTAAAGATCCACACAAAGATTTATGTATAAGAATATCGTTATAGTATTGTTGTAATTGCAGATGTTAGAAATGGCCTAAACTTTCAATAGTAAGGAACTGACTAAATAAATTGTGACATATTCTAACCATGGACTAACATTCTGCCATGAAAAATCATGTTCTCAAAGACTATGTGCATAGATACGGGAAACTACTTACAGTGCATTGTGAGAAGTGTAAGCAAACATGGTGCATAGTAAGTGCTGGGTTCACAAGGCCTGGGAAGAAGAGAAGGTTGTGAACTTGGTTTCATCCATCTCCCCGGAGAAAATGGAACAGGGCCAGCCTGAGATTAAGTTAGATCAGATCTTTCATTTGGATGGTGGAGCCACATCATACCTTTTCGTTCAAACTTTCTCATGAACATATGTAAATTTTCATAATGCAGGATAAAAAGAAAGCTTCTTAGAAAAGAAAGCTTATCTCTTTTACCTAAAAACAAATTAAAAAGCATTTAAAGTTTTGGCATGCCGGATGGAAGCTTGTGGACATGGAAGGCATTTGAAGGGAAAGATGGTCTGGGATAAAGACAACCAGTCATAGAGGGTACTGAACAAGAGTAGAAAATCAAATGCCAGTCAAGAAGAAAATGGCTATGAACGCATAGCTTCCTAAGCCCTGACATTTTTGCAGACCGTTGAGATGGTAGGATGGTCTGGGATCCCATAGACACCATCAGATGAGGGCAGGCTGGGCCCAGCTGACAGAGGAGGTGGTGAGAGAGTAGCCCTCTCCTATTGGAATGCTGCCATTCTCCGTGGAAGAGCCCCATGGTGCAGTTTCTCACGGTCTTGGATTGTGGTCAGAATAGCTCACACAGCACTCCTAGTGTACTGGAGTTTATGACAGACCTCATTGAGTGAGACCTTAACTTCCAGGGGGAAAAAAAGACGACTCACACAAAATCCATAAAATTGGTCATGGGAATTTTCAGAATAGGCCTATGTACTCTTTCGAAAATGATGGAACATAGCTGTTCATGAGTTCCATGTGACATTTTGGATCTATTGCTTTCAGTTTTTCTTTGTTTTCCACGTCACAACTTGATGTACCAGTCTTATAGCAAGCAGCAGTCTCAGCATGAAAAAAGTATTTTTTATGCAAAAACAACCCGCAGACCTATAATAATCACCATTATTATGTGGATTCCACAGACTTGTGACCTCTGCTTGGGCTTTAAACATGTATGAACACTGTCCCAGTGTCTGAAACAAAACAAATGTGGTGTGTGTGTGTCTTTCTCCCCTCAGAGATAGCAAAAGGCAAAAGGCAAACCTCATTCTTATCAGAACATTGGCTCAGTGGAGGTCCAATTGCATGGGGCTTTAATTGATTTGTGGCTGTGATAGAGAGCGAGCCTTCAAGGAACCTTTTGTTCTTTTTCCCACAATACAAAAATCTGACTACATTCTGCTGAGGATTTTTCTCCATCTCTTTTCTTACAAAAAAAAAAAAAAAGGTCAGTTCCTGGCATGGTGCCTTGGCTGCTTAGCAAGACGAAAGAAAGTCAAGAAATTTCCATTACGCCCATTTGGGTTTGTGTGGAGCAGAGCATAAGCTCAGGCATGAGTCTCCTCTGTCTGCCTTCCCTCAGCCACCAGTCCTTTCCTCTTTCTGGGGCTTGCTTCAAAGTCCCAAATAAATCCTAGAACGATGCATGTCCTGACTCTTCCCTAATCTCTCACCTTTGAAATTATACTTCCCAGGTAGAGGTAAAGGCAGTGCTCGGCCACCTAAAAAGGCTGCTCAGAAATCCAATTCTCTCAGCCAGGGATCTACAGGCAGCAACTGCAGAAAGCCGAGACCAAGACACCAGACCACCTTCATGTCAACAGCTGATTAGGCACCTCCTCCTGAACTTCCTGCTCTGGGCTCCTGGAGGCCATGCGATTGCTCAAGAAGTCATCACCCTTGTAAGTCTCCCCTTCTTTAGTGTGCTAATTCTCACTTGCATTCCAGGTAAGAGGATTGCCTGGCCTCTGACAAGTGTGTGTACCAGGGTGCTATCCAAACATGGATGGACAGGCAGTGAAGTTGATAGTTGGGATGGACCCCAGAACCTGCCCCATGTAACACCTTCATAATAAGGAAGCGAAAATGGAGGCTCCAAGAAAAGAGGTCACAGATTGCTGCCAGACCCCATAGTAAGACTAGGTCTTCTGTCTTCCCATGCATTCTTTCAGTTACATTCCTCATGAAGAGGAACAAGACTTCAGTGAGGAGTGTTCCCTGTAGCAACCCAAAGAATTTTGTTAATTAAAAAAAACAATGCTAACTACAAAAAATTCCTTCTGAAACCCAGCTGACATGAGGGATAAAGAATGGTCCCAGGAAAATTGAGTATCATTCATGGCATTGGATTAGGCAATGACTTCTTGGAATATATCATCAAAGGCACAGGCACCACCAACAAAAAATAGATAAATTGAAATTCATCAAAATTAAAACATCTTGTTCATCAAAGATACTAGTAAGACAGTGAAAAGACAAACTCAAGGAATGGGAAAAAAAAAATATTTGAAAATCACATATCTGATAAAAGGTTTAGTATCCAGAATATATTGGGAATTCTTACAACTCAACAGCAGCAAAAACCCAATTCAAAAATGGACAACAGATCATAAATAGGTAATAAGCACATGAAAAAATGCTCAACATTATTAGCCATTAGGTAAGTATAAATCAAAACCCACAATGAGGTAACATTCCATACCCTCTAGGATGGCTATTATAAACAAAATGGAAAATAACAAGTGTTGGTGAGGATGTATAGAAATTGGAGCACTCCTATATTTCTAGTTGGGAATGCTAAAATGGTACAGCCACTGTGGAAGAGTTTGATGGTACCTAGAAAAGTTAAACATAGAATTACATATGATCTGGCAATTCTACTTCTGTGTAAAAAGAAATAATAGAATTAAACAGACACTTGGCCACCCTTGTGGGGTAGATGAACCTTGAGGACATTATTCTAAGTAAAATAAGCCAGGCACAAAAGGACATATGCTGTATGATTCACTTATATAAGGTACCTAGAATATGCAAGTTTATAGAGACAAAATGTAGAATAGAGGTTACCAGGAGCTGGGCAGGGGAGAGGGATGGAGCATTGTTTTGGGATAAAGTTCTAGAAACGGATGGTCGTGATGATTGTATAATATTGTAAATTTACTTCATGCCAATGAATTGTCCACTTAAAAATGGTTAAAAGACCAAATGTAAAAAGCATCCATATGCTGGCCTTTGGAATTTTTATTTGCTTTTGTTTTTATTTTTTATTGACACATAACATACATACAGAAAACCTACACCTTGATTAATGTTCATAAACCAAATATAACCATGTAGCCAGAACCAAATCAGGAATGTTCCCAGAATCCAGAGAGCCCCCTCTTGCCTCTTTCCCTGGGCAGGTTCTATTTGAGTGTGAATATGAAGAGAGTCCCAGGGATAAATAGGTCTGCCAACAACCTCAGAAACCAGCACCCATGAGGTTCTCCTCAGTCCAGGTAGAAGAGTCAGCATGGAGCGGGCAGGCCACAGCAGCCAGCCTGTTAGTCCTGCCTGTCATGTTCAGACAGAAGACTGAGAGCTAAATAAATGTTCATGTGTCCATTACCTCTGGCCAGCTATAAGTTATAATAGTCCCTCTTTAGCCACTACCTCAGCCAAGTGATCAAGGTCAATATGAACAGTCATAAGACATGTTGACTATAAGTACCCTTAATACAATGTGATGAAAATGGCACTTCTGTGATCTTCCTCCCCCAAACTTTTATAACCCCAGTCTAATAATAAGAAAAACAATTGACAATCCCCACTTAAGGTACACTCAACAAAATACCTATACAGCCCTCTTCAAAACTGTCCAGGCTATCATAAAAAGGAAAGTGTTAGAAACTGCCAAAGCCAAGAGGAGCATAAGGAGACATGAAAACTAAATATAATGTAGTATCTTAGATGTTATCCTGGAGCACAAAAAGGACATTAGGGAAAAACTGAGGAGATCAGAAAAAGTCTGTCCTAATCCATATCAGTTTATTAATTGTGACAAATGTACTATATTAATTTAAGATGTTAATGGAAAACCAGATGTGGGAGATATAGGATCTCTCTGTATTATTTTTTTCAGTAAACTATAAGTCTAAAACTGTTCTCAAATTAAAAGCTATTCCAAGAAGTCAACAGCAGGCACTTTTGAATCATGAAAGTGTTAGAGACATTTTTGTCACCTGAAACAGAAGAAAGAAATACTGTGAGACAAATGAAAATGGAAACAACTTCCAAAGTTTATAACACACAGCAAAAGCAGTTGTAAGAGGGAAGTTCATAGCAATACAGGCCTACCTCATGAAATAGGAAATCTCACGTAACCTAATTTTATACCTTTATATCTAAAGGGACTACAAAGAGAAAAATAAACAAAGTCAAAAATTAATAGAAGTAAGGGAATAGTAAAGATCAGAACAGAAGTAAATGAAAGACAAAAACAAACTTACAAACAAACCAACACAATAGAAAAGATGAGTGAAACCAAAACCTGGTTCTTTGAAAAGTTAAAATCAATAAACCTCTAGTCAGACTCATCAAGAAAAAAACAGAGAGCTCAAATAAAATAAAAAATGAAAGAAGTTACAGTTGACACCACAGAAATAGAAAGGATTATAAGAGATTACTACAAATAATTAAGTGCCAACAAATTGGAAAACCTTGAAAAAATGGATACATTCCTAGAAACAAACCACCACTCATGACTGAAGCATGAAGAAATAGAAAATATGAATAGACTGATAACAATTAATGAAATTGAACCAGTAATTTTAAAACTCCAGATAAGGTGAATTCTACCAAACATTTAAAAAAGAAGAGTTAATAACTGTCTTTCTCAAATTATTCCAAAAAGTTGAAGAGGAAGGAATGCTTTCAGACTTATTCTGTGAGGCCAGCATTACCTTTATAACAAAACCAGATAAGGACACCATAAAAAAGAAAACGATAGGCCAATATCCCTGATGAACATAAGTACAGAAATCCTCAACAAAATTCAACAATACAGAGCATAAAAAATCATAAAATTCATATAATCATCTCAATAGATGTAGAAAAAACACCTGACAAAATTAAACATCCATTTATTATAAAAATTCTCAGCAGAGTGAGTATAGAAGGAATGTACTTCAACATACTAGGGGCCATATATTGACAAACCTACAGTTAATATTATACTCAGTGGTGAAAAACAATGAAAGCTTTTCCTCTAAAATCAGGAGCAAGGCAAGGATGCCTACTCTAACCACTTTTATTCAATGTAGTATGGAGGCCCTACCCATAGCAATCAGACAAGAAAAAGAAAAGGCATCCATATTGGTCACTATTTGCAGACGACATGATACTATATTTAGGAAACCTAAAGACTCCACCAAAAAACTATTAGAATTAATAAATGAATTCAGTAAAGTCACAGGATACAAAATTATCATACAGAAATCAGTTACATTTCTATACACTAATAATGAAACATCAAAAAGTGAACCATCCCATTTATAATTGTATCAAAAAGAATAAAATACATAGGAATGTTTGACCAAAGAGATGAGAAATTGAAGATAACAACAAATAAATGGAAAGATATTTCATGTTCATTGATTGGAAGAATTAATATTGTTACAGTTATTACCCAAAGCAATCTGCAGATTCATTACAGTCCCCATCAAAATACCAATAGCATTTTTCACAGAATTAGAGCAAACAATCCTAAATTTTGTATGGAACCACAAAAGATCCCAAATAGCCAAAGCAGTTTTGAGAAAGAACAAAACTGGAGGTACCACATGCCCTAATTTCAAACTATACTACAAAGCTATAGTAATCAAAGTAGTATGGAACTGGCACAAAACAGACATATAGATCAATGGAGTAGAGAGTCCAGAAATAAATACACACATATATAATTAATCTACAAAAATGGAGGCAAGAATATACAATGGGGAAAGACACTCAATAAATGGTGTTGGGAATACTGGACCACTATCTTATACCATATATAAAAATAGATTCAAAATGGATTAAACACTTGAATGTAAGAACTAAAACCGTATAATCCTAAAAGAAAAAACATAGGCAGTAAGTTCTTTGACATCAGTCTTAGTGGTATTTTTTTGGACCAGTTTCCTCAGGCAAGGGCAATAAAAGCTAAAATAAAACAAATGGGATTACATCAAACTAAAAAAGCCTTTTCATGGTGAGGGAAACCATCAACAAAGTGAAAAGGTAATGTACTGAATGGGAGAAGATATTTGCAAATCATACATCTGCTAAAGGGCTAATATCTAAAATATATAAAGAACTTTCACAACTTAAAATAATGATTAAAATTGGCCAGAAGACTTAAACAGATATTTTTCCAAAGAAATACAGATGGCCAAGATACACTTGAAAAGATGCTCACCATCACTAACTCACAGGGAAATGCAAATCAAAACCACAATGGATATCACTTCACACCTATCAGATAGGCTGTTATCAAAAGGACAAAAAGTAAGAGTTGACAGGGATGTGAAGAAAAGAGAACCTTGTATACCCTGTAGGTGAGAATGTAAATTGGTGTAGCCACTATAGAAAGTAATATGGAAGTTGCTCAAAAAATTAAAAATACATACAATCCAGAAATTCTGCTTCTAGGTATTTATGTGAAGAAAATGAAAACACCCATTCAAAGAACTAACACACATCCCTATGTTCATTGTAGCATTATTTACAATAGTCCATATATGGAAGCAACCTAAGTGTCTGTCAATAGATGAATGGATAAAAAGGTTATATATAGTATGTATATGGACTGTTATTACTCAGCCATAAAAAAATGAAAAAAAATGAAATCTTGCCATTTGCAACCACATGGATAGACCTTGAG